GTTAGGGTCAGGGTTAGGGCTAATTGTTTTTTATATTCTATTTTCGTGAATGGTGCGTCAGATGCGCATACGACGAAAAAAAACGTCCAAAACGTACGAAATTACGGTGCATAACTTTTCGTACGGTTTCATAATAATGAGGATAAACTGACCCAATTGGAAAAGCAAATAGATGCGTGATACATTATTTGAAAGCTAACGCCTTCTAGTTTCTGAACATATACATGGAAATTAGTGGAGTAAAACACTCAAGCTGCATCAGCTCAAACATGACTGAAAGTTTTTTTTTTGTTTTCTCGAAAAGACTTTTTTAAACAGTAGTAATAAAGACATGCTTTCTTGTTGTGGCTGCTTTATCATGGTACATTTTGACATGCTGCTATATTTATGTTAATTGTGCTTTGGTGCTCGCTATGTTCATAAAATGAACTTGGTAGTTGAATGGTGGAGAATCTAAGCTTTCCAACATTGTCGAACATGTCTATATTGGTAAACATTTTACCAGTGTAATTTTCATGCATTCTGAGTTATTATTTGTAAACGCTTTAAAACTGGAGGGTTTTGAGAGGTTATAAAATGCAGAGATTCCAACCCTAAAACTAATTTGCACTGCAGCCACTCCTCAAAATTATATTCCTTAAACATTTTATTTCAATTCCTTTCAAGAAAACAACATCTGAAAATTTATGTTGAATTTATTTGTTTCTGTAGGCTTGAATTCTGTAGCGTGAATATTTAATGTGAATGAAAACATGTGAAACAATTCATAGGCTTCTGTTTAATTTTTCAGCCTACCTAAATATATTTGTACACGATTTGTAATCACCTCCCCATGTTTAGAATGTCAGTTTTTTATTAATTAAGCTCTTTTGAAGCTTATCTTTATATCAGGATATGTCTTTAATATATTCCATGTTGATCATTTAAATGTACCCCCCCCTAAATATGAGAAATTAAATTAAAAAAGGATGGTTGTCAATTGATATACTGAAATGACCATATTAAATCAAAATAGAACATTTTCACCCTACACAAAATCAAACATCTCCCTCTGTGATTTAAGCCACAAGACCTAAAGCTGTAGAAAACCTGTCGTTTGAATGATAGTGGCTTCCAGTTTATACATTTTTTTAATCCACTCCATCTTATCTCCTCACAGGGAACCTTCATCTTCTCGATAATCAAATACTCTCCACTGAAGTTCAGTAACTCCTACGTTTATCCACTATGGGCGAATGTGTTGGGATGGTTTATTGCCAGTGTCTCTCTTTCACTCATCCCTCTGTTTGTGCTTTTTAAATTATTCCAAGGACAAGGCACATACCAACAGGTAAGAATGATCACAGCAGAAGACTAATCAAATAAAAACAAGTTACCGAGCAAAATGCATTATTTTAGAAAAAAAAAAGGAAATATTGTGTGACAGTTTTTCTTTCAGTTTTACTTAATTTGGGGAAAGGCTGCTTCTAAAAAAGAAAAATATAGAAAAAGATACAGCAAAAGATGGAGGTTACAGCATTTTCAGAATATTCACATGGCTTTTTCATGTTTTTTCTTTTCCTCTCAGCGTTTCTTATCTCTCTGCAAGCCTGTCGTCCCCTTGGATCAGATGTGTCCGCCCCCTGCACCAGAAAGCGAGAGCAAGGCTCTGTACACGGAGCTCAAACCTTTGTATGGAGCCCGGAAAGAGTAATAATTACTCTCCATCTTAAAATCGGGCAATAATTATAAACCCTAAGGTGACTGAACACTTAGGTTGGAACAACAAAGCTGAGTTGAGCTTTTGATGTGGCATCTCCTTGGTAAACAGATAAAAGCTTCTGTCTCTTGTTAATGGACTACATGGGAGAATTTTTTTTAGGATAGTTGTTTAAAAGGAGATTTTTTTATTTGTAAATAAAATGTTTCTATGTGCCAGGTACAGTAAACAAAGCTCCCTCGGACTGAGACAATAGGAACACGTATACCTTAAGTATCCTATGTCTCCATCGTTCTATACTTGGGCCACCATGGCTGCTATTGGAGGTCCGAGGTGCCAGTGGCACAAGTTGTACAGCAGCCTTACTTATGTCAGTGTGCCCCAGGACAGCAGTGGCTACAATGTACCTTATCATCATCATCAGCATCAGCATTTGAATGTGTGTGTGAACGGATGAATGACTGGATGTTAAGTCCTTTGGGGGTCTCTTGCTTGATAAAGTGCTATATAAGTAACTCACTGTGCAAAGATTGGTTGAGATGATATTGAATAGACAACATGATTTATGTCCAAATGACGTCTACATTTGGCAGTCTACGCTGGCAGATTCTTGAAATGAAAACTATCCATCATCTGAGAAACAAATCCTAAAGCTTTTAACATAAAAATACAAAAATCTAAAAAGGAGAAAGGGTTGAAAGCATAAAAAGTTTTCACTAAAAAGAACTAAATTGAAAATTTTAACTAAATGGATGTCAGTAGATTATTCTAAAAATACTTGTAGTGATTCAGATTTTAATATATAAATTCCAACATTTGGTTTTAACATGTGTATTAGTGTTTTCAAATATTTTGAAAATGAAAGCTTTTAGATGTAAGAAGGTGCTGATGTTATCTAACACCTCACCATTCTGCAGCAACCAAACTTAAAAGCTTTCAAGAGATCTGGTTAAATGCTTCAGTGCCTTGTGGCAAAACCTCTTTGCTATGTGTCAGTCAAACACCAAGCTAATAAAAAATTATTTCCACTATAATTTTCCCTTACCACAGACATCTCTAGTACTTCTTGCCACCTACCTATTACCTATTGTACTTTTTCCAGAACACAGAGGGTTGCCCTTAAGGCACTCTGTCCCGAAGGTTCAGTCACATACTGCATTCCAAGTGCTCCAACATGTTCAGGCTTCTTAATAAGGTTGGAAAGACATGTTATAAATGTTGAAATCAGACTGACAAATGTTAGAATAATCTAGTAGATGTTTCTGTCATTCATTTACGAGCCATTCCTGGAACAAAGCTGGATCCACTTCTCTAAATATTTTCTTAAACATCATCAAATAATTTAACCCCTATTCTAAGGACCTAATGTGCTGTATAGTTTCTTATTACTCAGAATAAATATGTGAATTGTGGTTTATTTGTAACTGGATGTGTAGTTTGAATGTAAGATTTGTAAAGGGGGTTTTGTAGCTCTTGTTGCTATGACCAAATATTTTCAATATTTAAATGTTGTTCATTGCTTTAAGACACTGAATGCTTTACATGTCATTGTTCACTTTAAAGATCTATTAAACGTAAATTCTTTGTTCTTTGAAGCCTGTCATGAATCATTTATTTCCAACTGTTCTGATATTGTGATAAACAGAACTAGAGTTAATCTCTCCTTGCCTGGACTACTGCAGCCCGTAGAAACTTTAGCTGGATGTACTTATATTGATTCTTTTTTGATTTGGCCAAACTCTTTTACACTTGTTCGTTAACATAATTATCTCTGGCCCTCGCAGGAATTGATGGCATACAGCCACTGGGTCAGTTTATAGTTGTAAGCAATGTTTTATCAAGAATAATAACTTATTACACCTTGAAATTGATAAACAAGATCTACATAGCATTTCAATAAAACACACTGTTTATTGACTTTTTGGTTGCCATCTTGAGGAATGAGAATACAAAATGTCATCATTTAAACACACTATAAATAAAAACAATATACATAATTTGTGGAAAGGGTTTGTGTGCACTTTGCAGGGGAATTGTTACATTTCTAGACCAAATTTCAATGCAAAAATTTTTTAAATGCTTTTAAGTGTTGAACTTTTTCAGCACCAGATAAAAAGCAGTTACAAAAGAACAAAAAGAACAACAAAAAACAAAAAAAAAACATCAAGGCAAAGGTCAGCATAGGTAAAGTTTATAAAACATAAACTAGGTGAATCCATTTGACAAACACATCAAATCAATTAGACAGTTGGTCCTCTGCAGGTCCATAAAAGCTACTAAATTGGCACAATTAAAGGAAAATGTTCATCCGAAAGCTTACGTTATACCATTAGGGCTTTAATCAATAGAGAAAATGACCAGAAAAATAAATAAATAGTATATATCTGAAAATAAATCCTTGAGAAAATTGAGTGTTGGTTATGTTTTAGTTTTTAATGTAGATATTGATATCAATTTTTCTTTTTTTTTTCTGATTAAATTATCATATAGAACGGAAGTTGAGGAACTTCGCCTCATTGATGTAGGATTCCCTGCAAACCATTGGCTATGTGTCTGGTTGCAAAATTTTGACCGAAACAGGCACCAAAGAGGCTGGGTATAGACGTGAGGCAACCTTCAGTCCACTTCTGTGAGGCCGCATGGTCTCCTGAATTCTTGTCCACGCTCATGTATCCACTTGTTTGACACTATTCATACAAAAAAAAGATAAAAGGATGTTTAAGGACAATATCATTTAGAAATGTTACTGTTTCTATAATACGGAGCATATTTTTGTTTAAAAGTACAGTCACTCTATTGGTTCGACTTTGCAGAGAAAAACCTAACTCTTTAATTTCATTTTAATTTAACCTTTTATGATCTTATTGAAAAAGGCTTTGTTTTTAATTGAGTAAAATTATATATGTTCCTCTACCTACAAGCACAACTTCTGACCTGTCTAGACAAGTTACCTAGTGAAGGGAGAAGTTTGGCAGAACACGAAGTACTTGGAATATAACATAATTGACAGACCCACACATTTTGGTTGATTGATGGCATCTAACAATAACAATGCAGGAATCTGTGTCTCTGAAGTTTAACCACAGAAGAATTCACTTTCTTCATGCCAGAATCCTTTCAACCTCAAAAAAAAAAAAAATATATATATATATATATATATATATATATATATATATATATATATATATATATATATATATATATATATATATTCAAGGCATCTGTGGTGCCCGTGGTCATTGGGGCACATATATATATATATATATATATATATATATTCAAGGCATCTGTGGTGCCCGTGGTCATTGGGGCACTTGGGGCAGTGATGGTAACCAGGCAACTTAGCTATGGTAGCTTGGTCATCAACCTCTTCTATCCTCCTAGGAGCTATAGAAGGGTCAACAGATTGACCAACTGCCATCAAATCTTTCCTCTTCGCACTCAAGCTCAGCAGAATATCCTTTAATTTGAACAACCAAGCAACTGACATCTTAAGTTTGGCCCAGCATGAAAAATAACGGAAAAACTTAGTAGTAGCATCATGTGGCTGTGTGTCATTGGCATTTATCAGGATATCCCTTTTCACTTCTGGGTCCTCAGAGCAAACAGGGTGGGGTTCAAAGGGCTCTGGCCACTCCTGCTCGGGCCTTTGGAGGAAATCCGGGCCATTTATCCACCTCTAGCATGACATAAAACTGTCTGCAGACAGACCTCTGGAGGCCTCATCTGCTGGATTGGACTTGGAACTGATGTACCTCCACTGAAACACATTGGTAGCCTCTCTTATTGCAGCCACTATTTGCAACGAAGGTGTGAAATCGTTTGGTATCATTATTGATGTATCTCAACACCGTCTGACTCTCTGTCCAGAAGCTTGAGCTATTCAGCTGGATAGAGAGCTCCCTTTTCAACATTCTGTCCACCTTGACAGCCAACACAGCGGCAGTGAGTTCAAGGCGGGGAATTGCTGTCTGCTTTATTAGAGCTACTCTAGCCTTTCCAAACATTATGCCAAATACACATTTCCGCCTTCATCTTGTAGCCTCAAATAAGACACTGTCCCATATCCATGTCCACTACCATCTGCAAAATGATGCAACTGGGCAAGTAGACACCCTTTAAAACTATTTGGCTCGATGCAATGCCTCACTTTAAACCCTGCTATTTTCTCCAGGTCCTGATACCATGATAACCAAAATTGTGACATAGACTGGAGAGTGTAAGGTACCAAGAAGCCAAGAGGGTCATAGATTGAACTGACCATTGAGCGAATGCCATGCATGTTAAAAGCTTAATGCATTACTCTTTGCACTCCAGCTGAGGCCCAGTGCTTTTTGTAAATGGTGTCAGTCACATACTTGTTCTAGCTGTTGATATTATCTGCTGCTGTCTTTCTTAAAGCACAATGGGTACAGCTTGGTGATGAGGCAGCTCCAAAGATATGCACTTTCATCCTGTGTTCAACTGGGCTGACTGATGCATCTCCTAATGGCCACCACAAGAAGCGGAGAAAATCCATATGTTTCTCTGACACCTTCACTTGATGAAACATAGCCTGGATGTCTGTCATCAATGCAATGTTCTCCTCTCGGAATCGGGTGAGCACACCGAACAGGGAATTTGTAAAATCCGGCCCCTGTAGCAGCTGGCTATTCAACAAGGTGCCTTTATAGCTTGCTCCACAATTAAACACGACTTGCAAGGTCCTCTTTTATTTGGGTGGTAAACTCCGTGATGAGGCAGGTACCACACACCTCCATCCTTAGGTTCCAGCTGGTCATGAGGAACTTTAGCATAGCCTTTGTCAATCAGGTTGGTAACAAATGCTGTATATTCTTCCTTATAGGCCTTGTTCCTGTCAAATTTTCTTTTGAGGCTTTGAATGCATTGCTCTACAATACACCGGTTATTGGGCATGATTATTTCATTCTTATTAAAAGGCAAATCCATGCAGTAATGTCCATCTTGGATACAAGCTGATTGTTCCCATATTTCCATGGACCTTGTGTCCTCAATTGACATTTCATGCTCTTCTTCCAGTGTCTTCTCACTGAACTCCATATTGTATTGAGACACCAACAGCTCCTCCAATTTGACAATGGAAATCTGTTTAGTGTAAACAGTAGGACAGCTCTTCTGGACACCATTTCCACTCCTTAAAGGTCTATTTATGACCCATCCTAATAGGGTTCTCACGGCATAGGGTCCATCACCTTTGCTGTTAATAATCTCCCATGGCTCAAGGAGCTTTGGTGTATTTGTCCCAATAAAAAGCCCAACATCAGCAACCAATACGGGGATCTTAATATATTTTTTTAAATATTCCCATTTCTCAACATCTTGCTGATGGGGAATGTTGATCCTTGAAACAGGTATGGATTCTTGTATGTAGACCTCTGGAAGCTCTATGAAGTTGTTTTCTTCCAGCTCAGAAATCTCTAGTCCAGAAACACAATGGCTAGGCACCAGTTTTTCTTGACCCATGGTGCACAGCAGAATGTTGGACTGCAGAATAGTGGGGTGCTTTAGATAGAATTTGTCGCAGGTTAGAAGACTTCTGCATTCCTTACTAATGTGGCCAAGCTTAAAGCATCCAAAACATACTCCTGTCCCTCTCAGGAATTCAATTTTCTCCTTGCAGAAATTCCTTGCAGTTCTTGGCACTTTGATATTAAATGAGGCTGTTTGCAGTAAAGACGGGAGGATGAGGGAGGATTATTTGGGACAATTGGCTGCTTGTAAACTGTTGGAGCAGAGGCACTGCCCGGGACTGAGACTGATGTTACAAAGCTGCTGCCTTTGATGTTGGCCTTTAATGAGGATTTAGTCTTAAGTGGTCCTCTCATCATAGGGCTTGGCTTGGTGTCATAGATGTCTCCAAACAGTGGATGGGACAGGATCTTTACTTGTTGCTCAAGAAAGCTGACCATATCATTAAATGTGACTTGGAAGCCTTGACACTCTTGCAGTTTATAAGCTGTTATTCTCCATCTTTCACAGATTTTATAGGGCAATTTCATGATTACTTGCCTTATATGACATAGAACATTCAACTCCTCCATGTACTGTATTTCTAACATTGCATTACAGCAGCCAGGTAAGAACAAGGCAAATTCCTGCAACATCCTCATATTTTATGACTGGCCAGGCAAACACTTTCTCCATGTACGCAGAAGTAATTTGACGTTCATTTCCAAAGTGCTCCATTTGGAGTTCATTGCTCGCTGGTAGCCCTGCTGTGATGGCATGTGCATACAGCTCCTTAAAGCTTTAGCTTTCTTGGCTGCCCTGGTATATTATTTTAAAAAGTACAGACAGTCCTGATCATTGTTTATCTTTTTTTCCCACACAATGTTCCAACGCTCTTAGGAAAAGAATACACTCTAAAGGATTGTCATCAAAAACTGGGATGGGTACAGATTACATAATCATTTGGAATTTATGGATAAATTAATTGTAGTTGCATTTGTACCTTGTGTGTTACTTGTCATTGTAGATCTGTTGGTTGAAAGGGAAAAGTTTTTGGGTTGACGTTTACAAAAAGGTAATCCATCCAACTTTGAATCCGTTCTAACAGCGCCATACAGTGGTTGTTTTGGGTGTTGTGGCTGATCCTCTGATTTTGTATTGCAGTAAACTTTTTTCTCACAGCTGGTGCAATGGGAGCAGTAGCAGTAAATACCAGTGCATGTGGTTGTATTCGGCACAAATTATTTCACCTTTGGGTTAATTTCAGTGCGTCTTTGCCTCTTTAAGTCCCTTACTGACATAAGAGTTCATTCCATCGGACATCGATTTAGATTTTCCTCCAACACTACTGCTTTCCAACACAGAAAGGTGTGCAGCTGCAGCAGCTATTTGCGCATCCAGTTCCGCTTGTTCCTTTTGCTTTCTTATCTTATCAGCTTTCAGTCTATATATCTGCCCTAATTTCTCCAATTCATGTTTCCTTTTCAAAGACTTTGCTTTTGCCTGTAAGGCTGCTTGATTGGCTAAGGCTTGCTTACGAGCAGAGGAAGTGCTGGGCGCATGACTGCGCTTAGAACGCTTGTTGAAACGTTTAAAAACACTATCCTCAGGGTTTATGTTATCACTGACCACACCACAACCGTTCTCCACTTGAACGTTAGTGCCATTAAGTTCATTACACACTTATTTTCTTTCAACCAAGTGTACACTTTATTTACAAACTCGTTATTTGCGGCTCCTTTCTCCTGAAACCAGGCATTTTGTTATTGTTGCTTGTCCTCAGGCAAATTAAAATCATTTCGCAGGGTACCATAGAGAGATAATGCTTTTCACATAGCGTATTGAACTTTTGTATGTATTGTTTAACCTCAGAATCATTTTTATTTGACAGCCACAACTCTGTTATTTTCGACTTTATTTTGCTTGTATGTTGAAACACTTCGCTTCTTTCTTTTTGCACCTTTTCAAGAGCATATACGGTTCTAGTCCCTGACTGGACAGAAGCACTAAAAAGATGCAAGAACTGTTGAGAGTCATGATCTGCTCTGATAGCTGGCCTTAATTGCTCATTTCACTCACCTGCCTAGTTCTGCCCAATCTCTGATCTCATCCACCTATAGGTACTGCTTTATATTCGGTGTAGCCCAGCTATCCAGGCCAGATCAAGGTTTTGTGTCTTGTGTTCTGTTTGGATCGTTTTTGGTTTAGTTTCAAGGTTTGTGTCCTGCTTCCTGGCAGCCAGTGGATTTAGGGGGTTTTCGTGACTGTCTCATCTTCTGTCTTGGTCCCTCTCCAAAGAGCCCTCAGGGTTTTGGCTCGGAACGTGGAGAGGGTCAGTTTTATTCCCGTAAGCATAGCTCCTAGGAGGGGACCAGTTTAAAGTCCTGCTGAAATCCTGGTTCCACGTCTCATCACAGCTTCCCTCTACCACTGAGCCTGCCTGTTTGCTTCTGTGCGTGTCTGTGTGGGCACACTTCTGTACCTGTCTGACTCTGGACTATGAACCTGCCTGAAAGCTCTGTAGATTTCTGGAAGTCTGGGCCTGCTGTTCCTGTTTGGGTGGAAACCTCTGATAAAGCATAGGTTTTCTGGATTCCTTAACTCTTACTGCCTGCTCTGTCTTCCTTTGACCTGGATCAGGCTCCTGCATCTTCCTAGGGCTGCAGCATCAGGGACGCTCTGAGCCACGCACTCCGTGTCTGGTTGTCAGCCCGTCGGCTGGATCGCACCCCTTTTTAGGGGGATGGACTGAACTGTGACACCAGGTAAGCGACTCACTGAGATTATCATCTTCTGTGAGATGATCGTGGTCACTAACCAGTGTTTCCTTCCACCAGAGAGTGTCAGTCACCTCCTGCAGCCACCGCGAGCCGCCGATCCACAGCAGTGCACTTTGTTTCTATTCTGTTTTAATACACGTTTTGAACTTTCCAACTGGCTGTCTCACTTTCCTACTGGGTCCATCTATCCCGTTTCCCGATAGTCGAGTATCTGATTTGGAAAATCAATTTGCACATGGTCAATGTGTCTGCTGAATTGTAAACACAAATAGCTTAGCACCTTCTTTAAAGCTCTGCTCTCCCCATTCAAATCCAGTACGGAGTAGGATTAAAGCACTATATGCTAACATTAGTTATATGAAGGGCCTGACTGATATCTGAATTTTGGGTACAAACTAGTGATACCACAATCATAAATGAGCCAATGTGAAATCAAATCACTGATTTCACTGACTTACCCCATTTACTTCCTACAAGCACTGGACATGCTGCATGTCTGGTTCTGTAGTCTCCTTCTCCACTTCTAAAAAGATTATACCAGAACACTGATGTTCCCTGTAGTCAAATGAAAACAGAATTATAGTAAAAATCATTGTTTATAATCAATATTTTAAAAAGTTGAGCCACGGGAAACCAGCCTTCATCATCAGAATCATCAGCCTATTGTGGAGATTTTTTTTTTGCTTATCTTTTACAAAGAGAAATAAAAAAAAAAAAAAAAACATTAAAGAAACTTTTATGTACCTAGTTAAAAAACCCCAAACCAGCAACACCATACTGTTCAGCACATTCCAGTTGTATTACCTTCTTTGGCCAGATTGCTGCACCAAAATCAGGGAAGACCGTAGCACCTCCTGCCTCAACATCACTCATCTGTGGGAAAAAAAAACACCAGATAAAAAAATAAATAAATTAATTAGTATAACCGCATTAGAAATACTAATACTACATTTTTCTGGATAGTTATATTTATAAGTTATATTTATCTTCTATGCCTTTTTACATTAACCACTATTTTTAGTAAAAATGCAGTGGGAGTTTAACAGTCAGCCACCTCGTACTTGTCTGTAAACAAATACATGAAAATGTCTATATGTTGCAGAGTACGTCAGGCTTTTAAAGTGACCAGAGAAAAATTATTTTCCATGTCACTGCATCTTTGAGCAGTGGCAATAACTGATGAATTCTGTTTCTGAAACACTTCAGGATTGTTTATGCAACGCTAATAAAATCGAATCACTTGAACCCTGTTTGGGGTTGACATTTGTGCAAAGTGAGAACAGCCAAGATAACGGTTCAGATTGAACTCTGACTTACGAATGTGTTTCACTGCTCAAAAGGTTTCTAAAAATTATTGTTGCCTATATCTTTACAAAGACGCCTAAACAAGTTTACTTCACTGAATAAGCAGCGTTACAAATCAGCATATATTGCTCCAAACCCCATAGCAGAACATTTCACGGTGAGAAGAAATTTTTCTTGAAGGGATTTTACCAACTATTATGGTCAGAATCTGAGGTTCTTCATGTTATTCTTTCTACTTGAATGGCTGGGGTGAAACTTCACTAAACTATGGGGTAACACTTGAGCCAAACTAACCCAATAGCGGCCCTTAGGAAAACGATATCTAAACTGCAAAACCTCATCATATTTCATAAAACCATTATCAGATCCACGGGAGAAAAACAAACCACAAATCAAATTCTGGATCAGATAACAGCCATCCTGAACAAAGTCTGACAGTCTGATGTTCTTCTATCAGATGTTTCCATTACTCTACAACCCCTCCAAATCCAGATCACAGCCAACAGTCTTGACGTCAGTCCTCCCGCTCCTGAACTGATCTCAGGTGAGCTCTCCTCCTAAAGCTCCTATGTCATCGAGTCTGCTGGTTGTTGATTGCCACAATGGCAGACCTTGATTTCTCAGAGAAATTTGCTGTGCTATTTGTACTTATGAAAGCCGAACAAAATCGTAGATATCTCTGGGTTCACAGATTCTCCGAAGATGGTGTAAGTACGGGGAATATCACCAACTCCTCCAGGAACTTTTTCAGTGGTACCATTTGCAGCCGTACTTCTGCTTATCGGTGACCCACTTCAGGGCCCTGCCGTCCCATATTATAGGAGGAATCACCCCAAAAAACATAGGGTTAGGCGAGACAGCTTTTGGATCTCAGACAGGAGCAGCAGGAAATTGGTGCAAGAACACCAGTAGAGAAAAAAATAGAACCATCTTTAACTATGGAAGATCAGAGGACTCCTCCGGGTAATCAGCACACTAATGCGAGGAGAGGAGGCAGAGCGATATGCCCGCTGGGGCAAACGCATGTGTTGGCAACCTATGGTAGCCAACTGCTTTGGCCGCAGCAGCAGATTGTCTACCCGCAAGATACATCACTGAAGGCGATGTAGAGACTACAGCTCCCTGGGAGTATGACAGTTCTATATTGGAGAAGCCAGCCATGGAGGCAGAGCTAGGAGAGGCTACAGGTTGCTGGATGTAGCCTCTAAGCTAGCTGCGCTACATGAAAGGAATTCCACACAGGATCAGAGAAGGATGGCCCACTGACACAAGCGGAGCTTGGGAAAGAAGGCCTCGTCTGCGCTGACGAAATAGTCCTTATTGGGCTAAATTGAAATAGCTTTTTTAAAAGCCATGTTAAACCCTCTTAAAAGCATCCCTACTTCATCCTGTGTCAAGATTATTATATCTATTTTCCATTTTTAATTTTTAAAAAGGCTAATCTCCGCTGCGCTCCTTCACTGTAGCTCACAGCCACATCTGGTCCCTGGCTGGATTTTGCAATGCGAATGTAAACAAAAGTTCCGATTTTTCAACTTCATTTGCAGGCAAAGTGCCGATCAGATGTGGCCAACTTCGTCAAAAATCATGTTGTTCAACTTCCCTACATTCACCACTGTCGCCTCATGCTGCTTTGTTTCGCTGCAGATCTGCCATTCTACATTGAGATAAAACGGTAATCATTAGCTGCAGACTTTGTGTTTGGTGGGAATATGCATTTATGAGGTGGAGCCTGTAAATCTCTACCTTAGTCATGACTTTCATTTGGTTGTCACCAAATATCAAGCTCTCTCCCTTCCACCTCACAGAACTTGTGCTATGCGATTGTGCTATCAACCTTCTCCTGGAGAACCTCTACCTTTCTTCAGATACAGCATCACTGTTTACTCCAAGCTGCATGCTGAACCTTAGTCGTCGTAATCCTTTAAAGGTACCTCCTATTGTTCCTTGGAAACATCCTGGAAAATTGAACAACCCTTTAGTGTTTGATTCCTCATTGTTCTCAAGAATTCAAGGCTTCTCTTAGTCCCTAAATCTCTGCCATCCAACACTTCCCCCCCACACTGATCATTCTGTTAATATACAAGGAAAAACATGCTGCATCCACTCCCTTACCCTGACATCATCTTCTTCTTCGCTTGCACGATAGCCCCTTCAAACATAATTAATGTGAAAAGTCCTATGCACACTATGAGTTATACCATGTTGAAAAACATTGAATTGGCTTTAAAAATGTAAAACTTAACGTGGGAATAATGTTTAGTTAATGCCCTTTCAAGACAAAATCTTCATGTTTTAATCTTGTGGTAGTGCAAACATTCACAAAGACGTGTCCTCACAGCATGCTAGGAAATTTAACATCCCAGCACCATATGCTGTTATCTGCCATTAGATGGCTAATCACTCACTGTGTAGTGATTTGTCTTTATTTCATTGAAATTTAAAAAAAAATAGCAACGTTTGTTTTTCTTTAGACCACTTTCTGTGACGAGCAACCCCAGTCTGCAATTGTACATGTCCGCCTTTTTGCGCAAATTGAGTTCCATGTCAGTCATCGATTGGCTCCATCTGAACAACAGTTTAAAAACAAACATCACAGATAAAGTATCTGCCTCTCTGAGAAATAAACTAGTGAAACTATAGAAATGTTTAAAGAAACACCGCACACACAGTAGGATTATCTAATAAGAGCATCATGAGAGCCACCCTGATAATCAAGGCATCTTGGAATGGGGAAATTGGGGCAACGATCTACAAAATTCAACCAACTAAACTTACTATGGATAACTTTTACATCTGCAACCGAGCAAATGGATTCTAATCATCGTTTCTCCTGGCTTGAAATAGTGATTTGAAACAAGATCTCAAGCGGCTTCTACATCTCGTCAACAATCAGTGGCGACCGAACGCTTGTACTTACGTAGTTTAAAAATGTTGCCAAGCGATTTCCAGTGCCTAACCTTTTGAAAGCATCAGGCTCGTCTTTCTATGAAAAAAATTTAAGAGAAAAAATTTCAAAATAAAAACAGGCCACATCATTACTTACATAATTTAGGAAGGTAGCAAGTCTATTTCCATCGACCTTGAGAGTGCTGTCAAAGGGGCGCTGCAACAGATGTTTATATGTTTAACTCATTATCTGAAACACTTTTAAAAAGCCTGCCACTTAGGGCACACACCGTACTTAAGTTTAAAATTTCAATTTCATTCTTCACTTTTTATCATAAAGGCATACTGTGCGGATATTGTCTTAAATAGAAAATGTTACAGTGAATTTGTAATCTTACTCATGCTTTGATCGATTCATTTCAGAAGACTTCTGCTTCTGTCTTGCATGATATAAACTTTTTAGTAAAACTGTTGGCAATTGAGACAAACAATCAAAAAGGTATAGAGTAAAATAAAAAAAATAAAACCGTACAAAAAGAGCATTGTTTGCCAAACCTTAAAGGGGAACACCGTTTTTTTTTTTTTAATTGGGCCCTTGATTTTACGTTAATACATCATGTTCTTCTCACCCATATAAGTTTTGTGTCATTTGGAGCTGTTCTGAAGATATTCCGTTAGGTTATATCCAAGTGACGTCTTCCTATGGGCTACGGTTTGAAGCCACAAACTAAACTGTTCATAATTTATCATTTATGGTACGCCAGCATTGAAAACATGAAGGCGAATCACGGCCCCCCAGACATCCGCAGTTATATTTATTATATTTATATTTTTTCAAAACAAAGCGGAGTGTGTATGACGTCATCTCCCGAATATCTTCAGAACAGCTCCAAATGACACAAACCTCATATGGGTGAGTAGAACATGATGTAATAACGTAAAATCAAGAGCCAAATGTAAAAAAAAAAACAGTGTTCCTCTTTAAGTGCAATTAAAATGAAACTCTAAAACAGCACAAATATTCATCTTTCTCCTAATAAAATCTCTTGGGTATCATATCTCTTAGTGGTCAGATATCAAATCAAGTCTAGCAGAAGCAGTGAGACTGCTGATCTTTTAAGTTTAAAGGTATAGTGGAAGATCCAAAAAAAGTCCAGTGGATTGTTTTTCATTTTCTTTTTTTGGAATGACTATGACCTTGATGAATGAGAATCTTTACCAGCATATAGTAGAAGATTCCTTGTTGATCATCAAAATATGAAAGAGGTTCAAATGTAAGACAAAATGATCAGATTTAGGCCAAATTAGTCTTCCCAGAGTCTGATCTGGTCACATGACACTGGGCATCTCTTTTTTTCTCCAGATTTGAGGCACATTTCCTGCACAGTGTAAACTGTGCTAATAAGGAGGTATTAAAAATAAAGCATTGCAATTCCACTCCTGAATGTTTTTAATGAAAGAGGAAGGATTTAAAACTATGAAATCTGTTTTAAATCCAACTTTTCTTTCCTTTCCACCTAATGAGTTTGGCCTACTTTGTGTTGGTCTGTTACATGAAATATTTGGAAGTTTTTTATTGTTATTTGACAAAAATCTGAAAAGGGTAAGGAGTGTGAATACTTCGGGTAATTTAGGTTGTTGCCAGATGCATTAATAGGATTTTCAGCTTAGCTCATATATGTCGAGTATTATTACATAGTGTAAAAAACTTTTTCTACATAATATAATAAAGCATGGTATTATATAATAAATATCATAAAAAGTAAAAAATAAAAACAATATCATATAATATACATGCAAGACCTTTTAAAACTGCGATTAACAGCAGAGATCATGTAAAGACTAGAATCAGGCTCAATCTAAAATTAAACATTGTAAAGATCCCATGCAATTTTCAGATTTCTCTTAACACCAAAATGCCCCTGAAAAGCTAAACTTACCCTTGAGAAGTCAAAATGTGGCTCATACTGTCCTCCAACACCATAGTTAGCAACCTGATGAGTCCATGACAACAGAGTTAATTAAAAGAAGAAAATAAAATCAATTTTTTAAGTTTACATGTTCCATTTCTTTAAATGTTTCAATGTTTTTATAATACTGTAAATGTTAGGGAACCAGACTCCAGCTGTTCTTATATATGCTGGCTGTTTAAAATAAGGTTAAATGATGCTATCCCTACTTGGTTTTTAAATGGTTCCAGATTTCGGTTTGTTTGATGCATAGTGAGTAATTCAGATTGTAATGACTTAACCTTGAGTTAGATTTGTATCACATCCATGCCCGCAGGCTTTATCCTCTGATGTAATTGAATTGATTGAAATCTTTAAGGGTTAATTGATAAGCCATAAATGATCAAACACTATATGTTTTTTATTTTTTACTAAGATAAAATGACACAGTGACACCTCTTTGGCCACACAATGTAAACTCTAAAGGAAAAAAATTAACATAAAGTTATGTTCATTGGTAAGAGTCAGCAATGGGGGTTTTGAGGTGTGCAAAGTAAATTTATATGACTGTAAAAACAAAGGGACGCTTACCTGGAGTAACTCTGCAGTTTCTACTGTGAGGCCAGTGATGTCTTGTATTCTCTGATTAACCCTTTCAATCACAGGGTCCTCCTCTCCTTCCAACCATGCACTGAAGAAAGAAACAAATATAATATCCACCTATCCAGGAAGTCCATATTAAATGTTTAACGGCAGCCTATCCAGATTCATTCTCATCTTTTAGTGTTAAGCCTTCAAAATAAAAGCACGAAAAATACATGTTTAAATAAATAATGATTTTTTTCAAGAAGTAATAACAATAATACTCATGAGGAGTTAAAGTCATTATAACTTCTAAAAATGTATCTAGCCGTCATAACTCACAGGTAAGGTATTGGTTAATTATCTCTGTGCCTGGCTTGGAAAAAAACTTTTTTTTTTTTTTTACAATGTTGCTGTTTGGAAGTGCTATATAAACATGGCCTTATAAAGGACAGTAAGTAATTATTTTGGATTTTTATTAGCAAAACATCCAATATTGCTTTCATAAAAACATCCACCAAAATTTAAACTGTTCTCATCTTTAGTAATGAGTTCTTATGAATGAATAAATAGGTTGTAGTGCACCCAATGGAAGAAAGTTTGATTACGGTAGCTAACTTGGTAGCTGTAAAGTAGATTTATGCTTGACGTAAGTACGTTCTGTATGAATAATGAGACGTGCGGACACCACATCTGCAAATGTTATGTGTCCTGTGGCTTTTCCATTTGTTCCTAATGTTCTGGCTGGCATGGGCCATCCATATTGTTTGTCCAGCGAGAAGGAAGTGAAAATAACCAAGAAATGAAAATGAAGTAATAACTGGAAAAAAAAATACTGCAAGTATTTTTGGATGTCTACAATAGGAATGAAGAAAACTTTGTCCTTCTCTTGTTTATATATGTGCAGGCAACAGGAAATGGCTTGTGTCATTTCCTGTTGTTTGACAAGTAATAGCTGTGTGGGCCCGCAAAAATCAAAACCTTGTTTTTGAAACAGTGTCACTAAAAGTTTTTAATTGATGGATTTTCCAATTAAACGGGCTGTTCTTTTTCTGATCAAACCGAACACTCCACACCTCAATACTTACAGAATCCATAAAGAACAAGCAGAAAAATTCTAAAAGAAACACAAAATACACATTGAAGATGACATGGATTAGGTAAACGAGCACATGCTGAGCACGTGTGAGACTAAGCTGTGTATATTTCCAAGGAGCTTAAATGTAATAAAAGTTTTATTCTGTGATGATGTGCAGTACAGAGCCTGTGGATAAGACATATTGGCTGGCTTTCAAACACGTCATGGAACATGACGTTTTTGGACGATGAATGAAATACATTAAATCACTTGTGAGATGACGGAGAAGTGAACTAAAAATAAGCAACTGGAACATTTAATGTTATGAATACTTCTCTGTCTTTGATGGAAAATTAGGTTTCGACATAAAGGAAGTTTGTGAATTAATATAAGCGCTCAAATTCATTTTCTTTGCATTTCAGGAAGAAATCTGCTTTAAAATGGTTCTGGAATGGCTGTACTTGGAAAATAGAGCAACCAGCTAAGTTGTACATGGGTCATTATGTGAGACTAGTTTGTCGAAATGTGACCACAACTGTCTCGTCAGTATACCACAGGACAGTATACCACAGTACAGTAAAGTCCAAACTGGTTCATAATTCAAAGTAGATAAATCCCTTAAGGCCCACTGCCAGAGTTAATATCCAGACTTATGTGTCTTTGTTTTCTAAAGGCTAGGCATTTTTCACTCTTCCTTTTTACCTTGGTGTGCTCAAAGGTCAGGCCCATAATTTGTACCAAGGTTCTCCTCACATTATTTTTAATTGGTCCTATCACAATATTTGGTTTAATTTTTATCCAAAATTTCTCTTTCCCCGTATCTCTTTGAGAAACATTTTTTTCAATGTAATCTCCCATCACTACGTGTTGATTCTCCTTGGTTTAAGCTGTATAAAAAGTATTATTTACTCTTATTACAAGCGCAGTGCCACAAATCTCCGCAAGTTCAGTTTATTTTGACCAGATTATCATAAAACAGACTAAATCTAAATCCCCATCTATCATTTGGGCTGAGACTCTCAGATTATAACACTGTTTACTTGCTGCATAAGAGAATCTGTTTTATGGTTTATAAATACGTTAATAAAAGCCACCAACAATAGGACTAAAGTCACACGTAGAAAAGCAGGGTGCTTCTTAAGAGCCACCTAACAAATATGGTTTTTACATATTAGTGACCAAAGTCAGTAAAGTAGAACCTATCTATTCAAGTCATGAGTACTGACCTTTTTGATACTCTGTAGTTGGCTGTGGTGAGAACTCCTGTTTTGGGATCACGGACAGTAGCTCTGGCCAGCTTAAAGAAAACAACAAAAAGTACACAGTAAATTCCATAGAAGAGGAAATAATCTAGCTTTTCCTTTGCTGCCACAAAACTTTTAGGTAGCAAGTTGGAAAAAAAAGACACCATCCTGGATTGAAATATCAGCACAACATCTTGTGTTAATAGATGTTGGAGTTGGCCTGTTTTTCAGTGTAGTCCTGTTTCTCTGACCGTGACTAACTGTATGGGCTCTCTGACATGGCTCGGAGCTCGTCAGCCTGGCTGTGTGCTTCCTGGATGGGGCCCCCTGTGGAGCTGGTTGACAGTTGTCTTTAATATCTCTACTACTTTCTGTATGTCTTCTTCTGTCTCCTTGAACCCCAGTCGGCATCGGCAGATGGCCGCTCACACTGAGCCTGGTTCTGCTGGAGGTGTCTTCCTGTTAAAAGGGAGTTTTTTCTCTCCACTGCCACTAAAAGCATGCTTTTTTTTATATGAGCGATTGCTTAAGAGTCAATGACGAAAAGCAAATAGAAATTGTCACAAGAGCATTCCTTGCAAGTCAATGTCTGGGTGCAATCTCCAGATTTTCCTAACCAATCTGACAGGATTGTCTCTGTAAAATGCCTTGAGATGAAAGGTGTTGTGAATTGGCTCTATATAAATAAACGGAATCGATCTGAAATGATTTGAATGAATTGACCCTATTAAGTGCTTTAAGGTAACATGTTTTTAATATGCATTAATTGAATAAACTGTCCTGAATTGAATTGTTTATCTTACCCTGGGTTTTGCAATCTCTTTAATTTTCTCAATTTCTTCATCTGACAGCATTTCCAGGAAGCGAACAATATGGGGGCTGTCCCACTCATCCTCCTCCTTCATTGGCTTCAGCAGGAGACGAGGGTTCTGATTACCATTGTGATACCGACAAAACAAACGGCTCCGTCTTGCCTCAGTCTGAAAAAAAACAATAGAAAAAAAAACAGAAGAGATATAAGTTAAGAAATCAATTGTAATTTATTTTTATCCATCTTATAAATGAACGATTAACTGAACACAGACTGAATTGTTGGATTTCGCGCATATTCTTTTAACATTTTGGTGGAGGCAGTTGGGTTCCTATGACTTTTCATATTTATCACAGAATGAGCTGATATTCTTGTGAAAGATACTCTGCAGCGTCACCTGCTGCTTCCAGTCAGTCAAAATGGGTGGTCTACTTAATGTCTGGAGGCCAACATTCTGAGCTAGTGAAGCTTCTTTTAACAAATAATGAGCAAATAATCTTGCATGATTGACATTTGTGATAAAACCAACATAATTTCATTAGCCAGGAGTGGTTATCAGCTGAGAAATATTGGAGAGTTGTTTTGGATTTTCCCGCACAAGTCATCACAGGTTGCACAGACTTGGCAGAGCTTTTTGGCTGGATGGCAAAACCAGGATCATGGAAGGTGTTCTGTCAGAACAGCATACCCTGTCAGACCAGCATACCATAGGCAATACGCATGCGCATGACCTCAGATTCGCATCCGTCTGACACTAAGTGGAAGGAAGTCTACAAGGCCAGGGGTCTTCCACATTTTCCAGGCCAAGGACCCCCAAACTGATGGCGAGATGGAACAGGGAGCCCCTAATTATATATATTGTATGAAATGGTGTTATAGCAAACTGGTCCTATAGTCATTCTAATAAATAATAAGTAATGTAATGAAAGTAATTTCGCCCTGGGATTATTAAAGTATTTCTGGTTCTAATTCCTTATAGATGGGACAGGTGTTGTGAATGAAACGGTGCCCAGCTTGAAAGAGATCCTGTGTGGTGCTGAATGTGTGCATTGATGACTGAAAGACATCTTCTGCCTCCATTTATCTGTTTACTTCAGTGTGTTGAATTCATGTTAATGTGGATTTAAAGAAATTTAAATAGATTTAAAAAAAAAAAAGTATAATCAACCAAAACTTTCGTTACCCCCATGCACAACGTCCCTGTTGAAGACCTCCATATTAGGCGACTTTATTTATACATGATATGATTAACAAAAAGTTGTAGGTGAAGGTAAACACACAGATCTACCAGAAAAGCATACCGAAAGTCAAGTAGACTAGTTTATTTAAGCGTGATGTAATAAACAAAAAGTTTTAGTCTGAGCTAAACAGAATATAAAGCTACACTTCTTTAAACACAGACAGGCTTGCTTTCTTTGTTTGCGTACTTCTCACCCAGATGTACCAGTTAACCTGTCTGATTATCATACTGATCTGCGAATGTAAAAGAAGTTGTTTAAATGTCCCTTTCTGCATGAGCACATACATATTACTATGGGTATACTGGTCTGACGAGGTATGCTGCTCTGACAGAACACCTGCTTTGCTACCAGACGACACATGCAACTGCCTTGGGCGCCATCTGCTGGACAGGGTGCAAAATTGCAGAATAAAAAAGAAAAAGTATGTTACTGAGGTTTGGTGCTTTAGATTGTCTGTTCATGGAAATCGGCCACAATATTTTCCAACTTGGCCCATACCTAAAATTAAGCTACCATAACTTATTTTCCATGAAATGAAATCTTGGTGTTTTTTTTTGTTTTTGTTTAATATTACTTTAACTCCACATTGTGGTTTAATGTTTTTGGGATTTATTTAAATTTATTTATTTTAAACAATATAAAAGTAGAAAATTTTTTTACGACACAAAATGGCAGAAAGAAAATAGTATTTATAAGGGCCATTGAAAAAAAGCGCAACTTTTAGGTGCAAATTACGTGGAGAAACGAACAAGCAAACATTTCACCACCATGTGAGTCTTCATTTAAAGTCAACACCGCATGATACCAACTAATCATATATGACCAGATTCCAGTGTACCAAAATCTATTATTTTAACCTATTGGTTAAAAAAGAAAAAAGGTAAAGCTTACTCTTGTTTTCACAGCATAGACAAAGTTCATAAAAAATCTTTTGGCCATTACTCCATAAAAAGGCAGGCTGGATTTATACTCTTAACACAGAGGTATGTGTGAGGAACTAAATATCTTTTATGTGTCCTCAGGACAGCGGATAAAAGTTATTCAGCTAATTATTGTGTATTTTCATTGATGCTTAAAGCAGATATGTGAATTAAAGCAACACTGTCCAACCTTTATCCAGTCAATGTAGTACACCAGTATGTTCCTGGTCTAACACCCCTAAAACCTTTTGTACCAGAAGACTGAGAAGAGGTGGTGACTCCCTCCATAAATAGGTACATTTTTGAGGGGAACATCCCACCCAGAACATAAATACACACCAAGTGTTGTATATTGACCTGTACAATCTTCCCTTTTTCTTTTTACAACTGAGATAAATCTTTATCACATTGTGGCTCCCAGCTCCAGCTTCTTCACCTTCAACAGTCAACAGTAAGGTAAGTCAATAATTGGTAGCAAAGGATTTCCTAGCTAGTGTGCGGAATTCACCCTGCCCTTTGCCTTTCAGACATCACTTAGTGACAGAAACAAAACAAGAAAGAAAATCGATGATGGCCAATTGAGGCCTTCTCAGGTTGGCTCTAGTTTCTTGGTATAATACTGTGTTCACTTCTCTCTCTGATAGAGACACTGATGCTTTGAAAGGTCACTCACCAAAAGGTTTGTACAATAAAGTGTAAAGCTCATCAATGCCTCACCATTTGTAGCCCCTCCCCCCTGCACAGAGCCTCATAGGCCTCTCTTTCTGGCAGATGGTCCTTAGGTCGAGTGTAGGTCCCCAGCTGGATGGGTTCTTCAGAGGCGGGCTGATAGGTTTGGTTCATCTCATTAAGCTGTTTGAAAAGCAGTCGCTCAAAGTAACGAAGGTTTCCTCCTGCCCTCTCATGGGTTGGGTCTGTCAGTATGAAAACAATTACTATCATTAGAAAACCTGCAAATCTGACAAGTGCACATTTTCATATCTACCTTACTTTTCTTAAACAACAAGTAAGGAAATGAGACTGCCGTTAGAAAATGCTAAAAGGGGTAAGAGTTTTTTTTCCTGTCTTAAAAAGCTGTACTTAATTAAATTTGATTTTGTATATACTCTGTGTGTATAAAAAGACATAAGTTATAAGTGGCGGAAGTCTAAATTATAGTCTATTATAATCTGTCACTTTATAAGAGTTGCAATTGCACTATAAGAGCTTTATAGTGCAATTGATCAGAAATAAAACTACTATTTGAGATTCCTTTTTTTGTTACAGTTAAATGCAGCTTAAAGTTTGACACACATTTAAAAACGACATGTTTGTGTAAATAAAGGAATTCTAATAATAAAAAACGTTAATGTTAAGACTCACTGTATATTATTTTACTAAATAATAAACATACCAAAAAATACTCAGATCATATCACCAGATCTTGTTTGAGTTGTTTTGATCAATTTTCTAATTCACTGATGTATATTTAAGTAGCCTTGGCCAATATTTGTCTCAGTCTTATATGTTTCCAAAATAAAAAAAGAGAACTGTTTGATGTAACAAGTGAGCCCTCTTGTGGCAAATGTTAAACAGGCATTAATTCTGTATGGAAAAGTAACTGTTCAACAAATACTTTTCTGAGAGAATTTTAGTAGGAAAACATGCTTGACCCTTTAGTAGCTCTATAGTAACTTAACAAGGAAGAAAAACATTATATTTGAAAACTATTTTAATGAATTTAATGAACATTTATAACTCTACTAATAACAGTTAAGCTTTAAGAAAGTTTGACCAAAAATGTCACCTCCTAATACAAACTCAATTAAATCATCCTTTATTAATCCTAAAGGGAAATACAGTTTTGGTACAGCCCATCCAATAAAAAGAAAATACCTAGAAAAACAACACATAGATATCATACAGGGGGGAGGTGTCCAAGGCCTTGCTACCACTATGGGAAAGTGGAGGGGGAAAAAAAATTATATTTCACACTTTATCCTTAGCAGGATACATGCTGGGATAACTGGCAATATTTATTAGAGAAGGTGAAGTAAAAATGTTATAAAAAACTTGTGGCTTATGCTTGATCGAAGCTTTGAAGCATGAAGGTGTACTCCTGTCATGTCATTTACACACTGCTAGGGTGCAAATACACTATATATAATAGATTTAGCCAAAGTTTGTTTTGGGGTTTCTGGGGAGATTGTATGGAACAGACAGACACCATCTGACCCTGTATCAAACTAATCTAAGCGTTTCTCCTGACAAAGCAAACCAGTTACTGTAGATGGTTTGTATTACCTCCAAAGCTATTCAGTGCTTTACATAAATGCTTGAAACAGGAGCAGCATCATCATCAAACAACACGCTGGTACGGTGATTCCATACTTCACCTTTTGGTAATGCTACATGTGTTGCAGCCTCATCATTTAGAGGCTGAAGTATAACCCCCTGAAGCTGGAACATATAAATATTTATATGGAAAAAAATGTTTATGGTTATGCTCTAATGTATAGGCTAAATTAAATAATTATTGATTTGAACATAAACTATACAATCAATACAAATTTAGGGGATGGGAAAAAACGAAGCCTTTTAAAAAAAAAGCTGAGGTTTTCCACAACACCTGAGCCATTGCATTTGCATCCTTTATTTGCTCAATGGCGCTATCAAGTGGACAATGCAAGATTATACTGACATAATTGTTTTTCCTTTTTAGAGCTTTAAATTGAATACATAACTGGTGATTATGAAGAGATGAAAAAGTAAAGATTTGAATATGGTGTTGGTGAGATTTATCTTTATGATTTAATGGCTGGATCTGGGAGAAAATGGCAATAAATGGGGGAATGACTTCTTTGTAAATATGTGTGTGTTAGGAGGGACAATGTGGCAAATATATCACAATTTATTTCTCTGTCAGTGTGATATGATTTCTATATTAATATAAAAAACATGAAAGCCTCAGGAAAACTGCGAGAAAAGACCCAGAAAGATGCCAAGAAAGCTTAGAATTTTAAATTTGTTTTGCCACATCTATGAAGCTATAACATATTATCATTTTAGACATAATTGTACAAAAAAACCCACATAAAAATTTTTATTTGGAGCTACACACTGAACAGATTAAATGAACATATAACCAGGTGTTTATCTCTACATCCTCATAATTCTCTACAAGTATTATTCCCCTTTTCAGTTTCTCCATTATTCTCTACTTTTTTTTAAAAATATCTTTAATCTCTGAATATTTCAAAACACTCCCATTAACTGAGCATTACATATCTGACCTAAAGGTTTGTGCATTATTAATATGGGTGGAGATTGTCAAATCGCTGTCTTCCTACATGAATCCCACATCAAAAATTAAAAAAAAAAATAAAATAAAATACTGTTGGATTTTCTGCTGATTCAGTTCAGATGCACTGAAAGTGGAAGCGGAAAGCAGTAAGAAAAGTTTTGACGTTAAAGCTAAGTAATGTTATTTAAGCCAGAGTCAAGTATACATATTTTTTCCCTCTTGTCAGTCCCTCTCACTTCACATGTAACCAAGGACACCACAGCTCACAATGAATGGCCTGCAGCTGTTCAGAGTCTGTGGAGCAGAAATAACAGTTTAAAACCACCGACTTTCAGAGTGGACAACACCCTGCTGCACTGGTGAGCACCCAGTAACAGCTTAACCCGGATACCAAGGTGGTTTGGGATTTGGAGAGAAAACTACCAGTCTTTGCATCACAGTTGGTGGCTGTGATCATATTGTTTGCTGGGCTGGGTAGGGGCTGTGTTTATTAATGGAAACCGCCTTTTAGCTAAAAAGATGGTTTGTTGCCTTGTGACTTACCGATGGACACTAGCCGGCGTGTGAGCTCAATAGCTCGAGCAATGTCCCCCATTTGGTAAACAGAGTAGCTCAGGTAGTCCAGGATTTCTGCTTTGTGGACCACAGCTTCCTCTCCAGCATCCAGCTGCTTCAGAGCCTGCTGAAACCACAGAACGGCGTGGTAGTAGTCGGCGTCGTTGTAGGCTGTCTTTCCCATGTCGAAGCAATCGTCCACAGTTAGGACGGCGTTAGAGTGAACACCTGAGAGGGAATATAAGGAAAGTTATTCAATATTCCAATAATAGTGTCATCAGAAAACATTTCCCACAGACACATTTTAAAAATAGATTCCTTTTTTCCATAGAAAATTTTATCTGTTTTAATTTAAGAAAAATGGACAGAATTAAAAATCCTGCCTTCTATCTGACTAAGAAAAAGTGCTTGGCTCTACCTTGGCTGTGCTGTGGCTCTACCTCTCTTATACCTCACCCAATATACTTAGTAGGTTATTCTGAGATATTATTTTTCATTTGTGCTGCTATATGCTTATACTGCAAGAGGACATACTGACCCCTTTTCATCTCCCTTATTCTTCAGTGATTGTTGGCTCAACCTCTAACCTTATCATAGTAGCTTTATCTGGTTATTTCCTGTTTGGCTGTGACATCATCCTAGAGAGAAATATAAGCCGTGATGCTACCATCAACATCTTTGTTTATAGATGTTGGAGCTTGGCCTTTTTTTCAGTGTAGTCCTGTTTCTCTGACTGTGACAAACTGGATGTGCTCTCTTTAATCCTCTGACATGGGAGCTGGCTTGGAGCTCTTCTGCCTGGCTGTGTGCTTCATGGATGGGGCTGCCTGTGGAGATGATTGGCAGTTGCCTTTTGCTTCTTTTTGTATGCCGCTCACACCGAGTGTGGTTCTGCTGGAGGTGTCTTCCTGTTAAAAGGGAGTTTTCCTCTCCACTGTCACTACAAGCATGCTTGGTGTGAGGATCGCTTTCGAGTCAATGAGTCGATGCAATCAGCTGGTTTTCCTAAGATCAAAGACTTTGAACCAATCCAACTGTATGATCTGGTTGAATTGTTTGTCCCCTACAAAGGAATTGTAGGGGACAAACAAGGACCAGCCAAGGGCCCATCAAGGACAGTGGGTAAATTTTGAATAGCTACTACTGTAGATCTGCACATCTCTACTTTAATAACCAATCCCAACTCCTCATTTAAGCCACAGTCACTTTAAGTAGAAACTGGGGAGATTAAGACAGCATAAATAACACAGTTTCCAACCATTTGGTTACCTGGCAGCTTTCCTTTGGAGAACGCTTCTGAATCTAGTTGATATGTGTCCTGAAGACGCATCAAAGCCTTGGCAGCACCGGTCTGATCTTCAGCATCAGGAAAGAACTGCCTATGTACGGACATGTTGCTGATGAAGCCTGTGAAAACAGCGTGGCTCTTTTAAACAACAGGATCAGAAAGAGGGGATTTACTGCTTTAAAAAAGACAAATACCTTTATTTTTCTGCATAGATAGCAGAACTTGGTAGGTTGTTGAGATTTTTTTCTTGAAATAGAAGTTAGATATTATAAATGATTTTGTCAGTCAATGTAACAATGAAAATAAATTTCTTTAGGTATTAGTGGTCTCTATGTTTTTTTTTGATAGACAGCAGAATATGCTCCTCTTATAGCCTTGGATTTATAGATCAAATATGTGATAGAAGAAGAACGTGACTGGCCGTCAGTACTGCTTGAACTTTACCAGTTGGGTTTGTTACTCTGTAGTTTTATCTGTGGAGCAGTACTTTAGCAACCAGAGCCTGAAACATGAACCTAATGAGATATTTCTGTATAACTCATCCTACAGAACATAACAAAAACAATCCACTGGACTTTTTTTTNTTCATGGATGGGGCTGCCTGTGGAGATGATTGGCAGTTGCCTTTTGCTTCTTTTTGTATGCCGCTCACACCGAGTGTGGTTCTGCTGGAGGTGTCTTCCTGTTAAAAGGGAGTTTTCCTCTCCACTGTCACTACAAGCATGCTTGGTGTGAGGATCGCTTTCGAGTCAATGAGTCGATGCAATCAGCTGGTTTTCCTAAGATCAAAGACTTTGAACCAATCCAACTGTATGATCTGGTTGAATTGTTTGTCCCCTACAAAGGAATTGTAGGGGACAAACAAGGACCAGCCAAGGGCCCATCAAGGACAGTGGGTAAATTTTGAATAGCTACTACTGTAGATCTGCACATCTCTACTTTAATAACCAATCCCAACTCCTCATTTAAGCCACAGTCACTTTAAGTAGAAACTGGGGAGATTAAGACAGCATAAATAACACAGTTTCCAACCATTTGGTTACCTGGCAGCTTTCCTTTGGAGAACGCTTCTGAATCTAGTTGATATGTGTCCTGAAGACGCATCAAAGCCTTGGCAGCACCAGTCTGATCTTCAGCATCAGGAAAGAACTGCCTATGTACGGACATGTTGCTGATGAAGCCTGTGAAAACAGCGTGGCTCTTTTAAACAACAGGATCAGAAAGAGGGGATTTACTGCTTTAAAAAAGACAAATACCTTTATTTTTCTGCATAGATAGCAGAACTTGGTAGGTTGTTGAGATTTTTTTCTTGAAATAGAAGTTAGATATTATAAATGATTTTGTCAGTTAATGTAACAATGAAAATAAATTTCTTTAGGTATTAGTGGTCTCTATGTTTTTTTTTGATAGACAGCAGAATATGCTCCTCTTATAGCCTTGGATTTATAGATCAAATATGTGATAGAAGAAGAACGTGACTGGCCGTCAGTACTGCTTGAACTTTACCAGTTGGGTTTGTTACTCTGTAGTTTTATCTGTGGAGCAGTACTTTAGCAACCAGAGCCTGAAACATGAACCTAATGAGATATTTCTGTATAACTCATCCTACAGAACATAACAAAAACAATCCACTGGACTTTTTTTTCCAAGTTTGAAGACGTTTAGATTCCCACCCACCCCCATGCAGGGGAAAAAAAACATATCACCTGGGCAGCCAGGCCAACATTGCCCCCAACAACCCCCCTTTCAGAGGCATAGACCAGTATCTGATATTGCAGGCTAACAAAGAACCCAAACAACTCCCCATTTCTAAGGGGCGGACCCATTTTTCTGGTTCAATTTGCATCTTCTCTAAGCCAAAACAAGTTTTTGGGCTACTATATAAAGCTTCAAACTCAACACTAATTCTGACATTTTGAATAGAAAAAGCTTCCTGGATGGGAAGCGAAATGTCTTCAAACTTCAAAACAAAGTCCAGTGGATTGTGGATTGATTTTAAACTTCTTTTGTATTGGACAAAAAGTGCCATATTTAGATTATTTAAACAGAGAAATACATTTAAATCATCCATTTTCATCTAACTTTTACACCAAGGATCAAAGCTAACGAAAAAACCCAAATAACAGCAGGACCAAAGATCAATATTGTTAGCATTTTCATAATTTATGACAGCTATGGCCTTTGCAGTTATAGGGAAGTCTGCTGATATGACAGTTGGGGTAAGCGACACATGAGCATTACCGAAGGAGTAGTCCGTTCACAGAAGGCTGTATCTAAGCAAATAAAGTTAAGTGGAAGAGAAAAGTGTGGTGGAAAATGGTGCAAAAGTAGCAATAAAAAAAACAGCCTCGAGAGGACTGAAGCACAAACTAAAGAGTTTAGTTTAGTTAGTGATTCACAACACATCAGCAGCAGCTGGAGACAGTACAGTCCTGCACAGAGAGGTTTCTAGAGCATGAGCCAAAACTTTCACATTCCTAATATGTTTAGACGGTTGAGCAAAGAGAGGTGTCACACCTGACACCTCGATCGAAGCTCCCCTCTTTTTGGATGATGGTACGTTGTTTGATTGCATTTGTAGCAGTGACATTTCAAAGCTTCTTGCTCTAATGGCCACGTCGACAGATTTTCTTTTTTTTTGATTCCACTCATGCTCTGTTTGGCTGTCTTGAACAGATAAGAGCCTTTGCCTAAACATGCACACACACCCAAAGAGAGAACGCAGCCAAAATATGCTCAGATGAGGACCAGCTGCAGTCAAAGTTGGAAAGGAACCCTCGAGCAAAGCTGAACAGCCAAAGCTCTGATTGCTCCGTTTACATCCCTTCTGGATTTCTGGGTTTTTTGAAGCAAACAAATGCTGTTTTCTACATGAGATGAAATGAGTTATATGAAAATGCTGAAAATTTAACAAGATTTGTCTATACAAGCTTTTAAATTCAAAAAAATGTGTATCATGAAAGAGGATTAAGTCTAAAGGGCTGGTTATACTCCCGCAGCAGTGTGTCACAGGGAGCTTGTTGCAGTTATGATGAAGACATTTTTGATTTATGCTCAATTTTGAAGCTTGGTCTACGCTGTGTTATTCCACGCCACAAGGCAAAAGGGGACAATCACAAACTAGCTGTAGGTCTAGATACGGCTGAGGTGCTGAGGAAATGGGGGCAAGTTTGTGCGACAACGGGGGGACATGAGGGCGATCCAGGTGGAAAAAGGGTCCCAGCGTTCTTGCACACCTCGGTCTTCTAGCTGGTCCATCTTCATGAGTCGTTTTCCGCAATGGAAACAAACAGGAGATAGGCATAGTGTAGAGCGGATGTAGATTGCACCAATAAGAGGTCTCCTGTCTGCAGCACTGTCTGCAGTCACCTACAATTTGGGGGAGGTGCAGCTGAGTGTCTGAGGAAGCGGTGTCTCAATGTTCACTGCGACACCTACGCAGACGACCAACTTTCGAAGTATAAATCAGCCTTAAGAATACTTGGTGTAACTACTAACTGTGGGACATAGAGGCAGAATCATTCTCCGGTGAACGGAGACATTTCCTTACCATCCGATGGATTCTGAAGCACCAGGGTCTCCAGCTCAGACCACTCCGTGTTCAGCCTTTTCATTAGTTTGTAGGCGTTCACTGGATGGGCCAGGTAGCCCTCAGGGTCAGACGTGGATATTCTGGTCAGAGCATCAAGTTTGCTCGCCCAACTAATAAACAAAAAGAAGGTATTCACAAAGATTCCAAAAAGAGCAAATTAATTAAACAGAAAA